CAGCCGTAATGTGCAGAACTCCATTCCATCAACCTCAGGCTCTCACTCAGCTCCTGCTCCTATTCCCAGATGTCACTTGTAAACACAAAAGCCTTCTGTGTTTACAAGGGACAGCTTTGCTCAGTGGCTCCAGATTTAACAGTTTCCTGCATGCGCTCACAGTGGGGCACGGTGGGGACAGATCTCTGGAGAGAGAGAGAGAGAGCAATCTCCGTGCAAGTCACGCAACCAACACATGAGATACTAGAGCCGGGCCAGGTAGGAGAGAGAGAGTTGCAAGGAAGATTTGGCGGTGGAGGGTTGGTTTTGCAAACCCTGCACTCTGTACACAGCACACTCCTGAACTCTGCAGCCTGTACACAGCACACCCCTGCACTCTGTACACAGCACACTCCTGAACTCTGCAGCCTGTACACAGCACAACCCCTGCACTCTGTACACAGCACACTTCCCCTGCACTCTGTACACAGCACACTTCTGAACTCTGTAGTCTGTACACAGCACACCCCTGCACTCTGTACACAGCACACTCCTGAACTCTGCAGCCTGTACACAGCACACCCCTGCACTCTGTACACAGCACACTCCTGAACTCTGCAGCCTGTACACAGCACACCCCTGCACTCTGTACACAGCACACTCCTGAACTCTGCAGCCTGTACACAGCACACCCCTCTGCACTCTGTACACAGCACACTCCTGAACTCTGCAGCCTGTACACAGCACACCCCTGCACTCTGTACACAGCACACTCCTGAACTCTGTAGTCTGTACACAGCACACCCCTGCACTCTGTACACAGCACACTCCTGAACTCTGTAGTCTGTACACAGCACACCCCTGAACTTTGCACTCACATTCCTAAACCCTGCATTCTGTACATAATGCACAACTGAATTCTGCACTATGTACACAGCACACTCCTGAACTCTGCACTCTGTACACAGCACACCTCTGAACTATGCACTCACTTCTAAGCCCTGCATCCTGTACATAATGCACAACTGAATTCTGCACTCGCAGTCCTAAACCCTGCATTCTGTACATAATGCACAACTGAATTCTGCACTCTGTACACAGCACACCACTGAACTCTGCACTCTGTACACAGCACACTCCTGAACTCTGCACTCTGTACACAGGACACCCCTGAATTCTGCACTCTGTACACAGCACACTCCTGAACTCTGCACTCTGTACACAGGACACCCCTGAATTCTGCACTCTGTACACAGCACACTCCTGAACTCTGCAATATGTACACAGCACACCCCAGAACTCTGCACTCTGTACACAGCACACCCCTGAACTATGCACTTACACTCCTAAAGCCTGCATTCTGTACATAATGCACAACTGAATTCTGCACTCTGTACACAGCGCACCCTTGAACTCTGTACTCACACTCCCAGGGGCGGACTGACAACTCATGGGGCCCCCGGACAATAGGGGATCATGGGGCCCCTGTGTCCTTGCCCAAACTCAAAAAAGCCTATGAAAAAGGTACCAGGGGCATCTCATGGGGCCCCCTACTGACCCTGGGCCCTCGGGCAGTGCACGAGTTTCCAAATGGTCAGTCCGCCCCTGCACACTCCTAAACCCTGCATTCTGTACATAATGCTCTCTTGAAGTCTGCACTCTGTACACAGCGCACCCATGAAATCTGCACTCTGTATGTAGCGCACCTCTAAACCCTGCATTCTCTACATAGCTCACCCTAGAAAAAAACGGCTCTTTGGGGGCAACTATACTTAATAAGCCTTCAGAGGGAACCTGGGAGTCTTTCTAAATGCTTGCACAAATGATCAGAAAACTAACTGGGTGGCCAAATGTTCACCTTTGAAACCATCATAGGCAGCTTGTTTTCCTGCTAATTAAAGCCCAAATAAACTTTCAGTTAAAATTCTTCCTAATACATTCCAGGTGCATCAAAACAAAAGGTGCGTCTTATAGTTAATTTTTCTTTAGAAAGCAACCACAGCTGTTCCTTGCCAGCATGCAGTAGAGAAGGACCATTGCTTTCTGTGAAGAAGCAGTGCTCTCTCCGCAGAGGTCTCCTGCTGAGTCAGACCTATAACTCTCCAATCAGCAAAGCTCATGTTCCCTTTTACCTGCGACCCCCCCCTTCATTATGGAGATTTTTCATCACTTCCTATCCCTGTATGTAAAAAAATGGAGATTTCCATTATTTCTATTGTCTATAGAACAGGAAGGCAAGGCCAGCAACAAAATTACTGTCAGAGGTTCTTGCACTCCCACCCTCCACTAAAAATGTTTTCTTTTGTCGTCTATTTGCTAACAAGAATTGAGGAAAACAAAAATAAAAAATCATACTTATTCAATATATTAAAAATAAAAAAAAAAAATAAAATAAAAAAAATATATATATATATATATATAAAATATATGTTAAAATTTACTTTTTTATATGTTAAAAAAAATCTGAAGAATATATTTTAAAAATATATATATTTTTAAAAATCTATTTTTTTTAAATATATTCTTCAGATTTTGTTTAACATATAAAAAAGTCATTTTAACATATATTTTATATATGTTAAAAAAATCTGAAGAATATATTAAAAAAAATAGATTTTTAAAAATATATATATATTTTAAATATATTCTTCAGATTTTTTTTTAACATATAAAAAGTCATTTTAACATATATTTTTACATATATTTGTAAATGCATTCCAAAAATGTAGATTTGTATTTTTAAAGACATACAGTATATTTAAAATGTATTTTTAAAAATATTTTTAATATATTTGGTAATAAAAATGCATTTCAACAAGCAATATATATATATATATATATATATATTCATTTATTTATTTTTTTTAATATATTGAATATGCCCAAAATTGTAGCATTTCAAATATATGGTGATATATTTGGGTAGAATATTTTTAAAAATATATTTCAAAAATATTTTTCTTCCATATGGGTAAGAAAAACTGAATCCCTCCCCATTCTATCCAGAACAAAATAAAACAATGTGGTTGTGATTTTATATATGTTAAAAAAAATCTGAAGAATATATTTAACAAAAATTGATTTTTAAAAATATATATTTTAAATATATTCATCAGATTTTTTTTAACATATAAAAAGTCATTTTAACATATATTTTTTACATATATTTGTAAATGCATTCCAAAAATGTAGATTTGTATTTTTTAAAGACATACAGTATATTTGAAATGTATTTTTAAAAATATTTTTCATATATTTGGTAATAAAAATGCATTTCATCAAGCAGTATATATATATATATATATTTTTTTTTTAAATATATTGAATATGGCCAAAATTGTAGCATTTCAAATATATGGTGATATTTGGGTAGAATATTTTTAAAATATATTTCAAATATATTTTTTCTTCCATATGGGTAAGAAAAACTCAAATCCCTCCCCATTCTATCCAGAACAAAAAAAAAACAATGTGGTTGGACCTATATTTAACTGGTTGGACTTTTTGATCAATTTAACCCTTGACTTTGGTAGGTGGTGGCAGGTGGCCCAGCAGACAAGGCAGGGATTAAAGAAGATGACGTGTTGGTGGAAGTGAATGGCGTCAACATAGAGAAGGAAAGCTATGATGATGTCATAGCGAGAGTCAAAAATGCAGGAGGGTCCGTTACACTTCTGGTGGTTTCCAAAGAAGGCAGCGAATACTACAAATCCCAGAAGATCCAGATTACAGCATCCATGGCAGACCCACTGCCCGAAAATAAAAACACACCTAACGACAAAAATAAAAACACAGCCGATGACAAAAATAAAAACACAGCCGATGACAAAAATAAAAACACAGCTGATGACAAAAATAAAAACACAGCTGATGACAAAAATAAAAACACAGCTGATGACAAAAATAAAAACACAGCTGATGACAAAAATAAAAACACAGCTGACGACAAAAAAAACCCCACACCAGATGACAAAAATAAAAACACACACCTGACGAAAAAAAAATAAAAACACACCTGACGACAGCCAAAAGACACCTCCTAGCAAAGCAAGATCAGCTCCTGAGCCTATTGAACTGGTAAGCCAATTCCTTCCTAAGGCTGTATTCACATCTGAGCATCATATTTTTAAAAAATTTTCAGGCGTTTGTATGTGCATTTTTTTAGCTTTTGGTAAAGCATTTTTAAAGCGTTTTTGAGCTTTGGCATTTTTTTATTAGCCAATAGAGAAAAATATAATCTGTTTCATCATTTGTTGCTATGTTTTTCAGCTCTTTCTTCTGATTTTATTTACAATTGTTATTATTATTATTTATAATTTTTTTTTTTTACTTTTTTGCAAGGTGTTAAGGGTTAAAGGGTTTGGTTAGCGGTTAATATATTTATTTATTTTATTAATTATTTATTTACTTTTTATTTTGTTACGTTAGGGGTTAGGATTAGGGGTTAATATTAAAGTTAGGGGTTAGGTTTAGGGCTAAGGGTTAATATTAGGGCTAAGGGTCAGGGGTTGTTGGGGTTAGGGTTATTTTATTTATTTGTATTATTTATTTTATTTATTTAGTGTTTATTTATGTGTGTTATTATTTATATATTTTATTAAATAATGAATTGTTATTATTTATTTCTATTTAAAGTGTTACTAAACCCACAAGAGTAAAATCAGTCTGTAGATGCAGTAAAGCATTCTTGGTATACTCACTGTGGAACCTAAGGGGTTATCCTCTGCATTGTGTAAACAGGATGTTTGATCCTGACTTCTGTGAACCTCCCCTTCTTCTAGCTCCCCCTTCTTATCTCATGATAAGGCATATGGTTTGGAGTCACTCTGCACAAGCTCAATTTGGTGTGTATTGCTAGAGAGGTTTTTTTTTTTTTGCTTGGGAGAGGGCCTGTGATCAGCACAAGGCCAAGGCCAATCAGCACTGTCCAGACAGAGGTCAGGGGTCCTGCATCTTCCTAGAGCAGAATGGAAACGCATACTACAAGTTTTAACATGTGCTCTGCTGGACACTGATAGAAGTCACAAGACTGCTATATACTGCTGATAAGAAAAGGTATTTAGCAGTTTATATATGCTTAAATAATTGCATTTCCATATTGTGTGTGTACTGTGGGAGACCAGATATAGTGAATGCAGGGTCCGCTAAGACCAGATATAGTGAATGCAGGGTCCGGGGAGACCAGATATAGTGAATGCAGGGTCCGGGGAGACCTGATATAGTGAATGCAGGGTCCTGGGAGACCAGATATAGTGAATGCAGGGCCCGGGGAGACCAGATATAGTGAATGCAGGGTCCGGTGGAAACTAGAATATAGTGAATGCAGGGTCAGGGTCAGGGCCCGGGGAGACCAGATATAGTGAATGCAGGGCCCGGGGAGACTAGATATAGTGAATGCAGGGTCCGGGGAGACCAGATATAGTGAATGCAGGGTCCGGGGTTTAGGAACACTTTTTTTTACTGCATTTGAGCAGAAAAACGCTCACAAATGCATGAAAAATGTGCTAAAAATGCTCAAATCAAGCGATTCCATGGAACAAAAAAAATACTTCCAAAATGCACCAATCTGCCGATTCTGAATCCTTTGAATGCACCAACAGGTAGTAGATGACTACCATCTATTCTGACCAATAGGGAACCAATTTATATATATTACAAAGAGATTGTACAATCTACTATAATTCACCATAAGTGTGTAACACAATGGTCGCCTTAACATGGTCAGCCATAATTTGATGTTTTTCAAATTAATATTGACTCCCAGTACTTTCTGTCCACGGAGAACCGCAAATGTTCTATTCCCTGCAAATCCGCACAAACATATTCAGAAGAATTAGGTTTCACACTAGCCTGCACACTAAAATGGAATGATCCGATCGATGCTGCATCCACCTAGGTGAGTATAAATGTTTTTTTTTTTTTCAAAGTCCAAACTTCTCTTTTAAAGCGGTATTAAACCCAAAAACAAAACTGTATTATATTGCAGCTTACTAATCATTAGCTTTCCTCCTCTGTTTTCACCTGGTCATATGGACAGTAACACACCTCCTCTGTTAGTGAGACACCACTCTGGAGGAATGAGCCAGGACAAAGCAGACCACACCATTGTCAGTCTAGGGGAGGGGAGGGGAGTGTTAAATGTGTTAGCAGATTTGAATACAAATAATAAATTGAGGCACATTGGCAGTACAGCGGTTAAGTGGTTAGCACTTCTGCTTAGCAGCACTGGGGTTGTTCCTTTGAATCCCAAGCACAGCACTACCTGACTGGAGTTTGTATGTTCTCTAGTATATGAATGTGAGTTAGGGACCTTAGATTGTACGCTCATTGAGGGCAGGGACTGATGTGAATGTACAATATATGTAAAGCACTGCATAAATTGATGGTTCTATTGATGTACCTGTAATGAATAAAAATTGAATACAAACTCCAGACACTTTATAATCAGTTACAGCAACAGTTTTTGCTTTTTGGATAAAGGGTTTTACATGAATAAATAAAAGCTGATCGTTTTAAGCACCCCTGCCAGTGGTAAGTGGATGGTCTCATCCATGTAAGCTGATACATTCTGCTGGAGAGCTAGAGCTTCTGAAAAACAATAGACTTGCTGGCTGCAGAGGAAAATAGAAGGAAGAAAGCCTAAAAGAGAAAACAAATGCAGCTGTGACATGTAAGAATTGGAAAAAGTGCAATATAATAAATGTTTGCTTTTGGGTTTAATCAGGGCTGTCTTAATGCATGGGCGCTGCCCAGGGGCCCCAGGTGCATGAGGGCCCCATGATAATCTTGCATTACATCACACTTGCCAACTGTCCTGGATTTGTCGGGAAAGCACGCTTTTTACAAAGCTGTCCTGGGATGGCCCAGGCAGCGTCCCAGAACCTGTACTGTGCCCTCCTGATCCCAGTATTGTGCCCTTCTGACTCCCTCTGTACTGTGCCCTTCTGCCCCCCCCCCCCCCCGTACTGTGCCCTCCTGATCCCAGTATTGTGTCCCTCCTGATCCCCCCGTACTGTGCCCTCCTGACTCCCCCTGTACTGTGCCCTCCTGATCCCAGTATTGTGCCCTCCTGACTCCCCCTGTACTGTGCCCTCCTGATCCCAGTATTGTGCCCTTCTGACTCCCTCTGTACTGTGCCCTCCAGACTCCCCCTTTGTGCTGTGCCTCCTGATCCCAGTATTGTGCCCTTCTGACTCCCCTGTACTGTGCCCTCCAGACTCCCCCTGTGCTGTGCCCTTCTGACCAAAGTATTATGCCCTTCCGTCCCCCCTGTACTGTGTCCTCCTGACTCCCCCTGTACTGTGCCCTCCTGATCACAGTATTGTGCCCTCCTGACTCCCCCTTTACTGTGCCCTTCTGACTCCCTTTGTGCTGTGCCCTCCTGGCCCCAGTATTATGCCCTCCTGACTCCCCCTGTACTGTTCCCTTCTGTCCCCCCTGATGCCAGTATTATGCACTCCTGACTCCCCCTGTACTGTGCCCTTCTGTCCCCATTTCCCCCCTCCCCCCATACTGTGCCCTTTGTGCTAATTTATGGCATGTTTTCTTATAGTTTGAAAGTAATTTTATTGAAAGTACTAATAAATATATGTTTAATTCTATCAACTCTTTGTAGTGAAGGAAATAAGTATTTGATCCCCGGCTGATTTTGAATGTTTGCCCACTCACAAAGAAATGATCAGTCTAAAATCGAATGTTCGGTGTATTGTAACACTGAGAGACAGAATAGCAACAAAAAAATCAAAAGAAATGCACGTCTAACAAATGATGACTGATCTGCATGTTCATGAGGGAAATAAGTATTTGATCCCCTTCACAAAACATGACTTAGTACTTGGTGGCAAATCCCTTGTTGGCAATTACAGAGGTCAGACGTTTCCTGTAGTTGGCCACCTGGTTTGGACACATCTCAGGAGGGATTTTGGCCAACTCCTCTTGGCAGATCCTCTCCAAGTCATTAAGGTTTGGTGGCTGACATTTGGCAACTTGAACTTTCAGCTCCCTCCACAGATTTTCAATCGGATAAAGATCTGGAGACTGGCTAGGCCACTCAAAGGACCTTAATGTGCTTCTTCCTGAGCCACTCCTTTGTTGCCTTGGCCGTGTGTTTTGGGTCATTGTCATGCTGGAACACCCATCCACCACCCATTTTCAATGCCCTGGCTGAGGGAAGAAGGTTCTCACCCAAGATTTGACTGTACATTGCCCCGTCCTTCGTCCCTTTGATGCGGTGCAGTTGTCCTGTCCCCATAGCAGAAAAACACCCCCAAAGCAGAATGTTTCCACCACCATGTTTGACAGTTGGGATGATGTTCTTGGGGTCATAGGCAGCATTCCTCCTCCTCCAAACACGGCGAGTTGAGTTGATGCCAAAGAGCTCGATTTTGGTCTCATCTGACCACAACACTTTCAACCAGTCCTCCTCTGCATCATTCAGATGTTCAGTGGCAAACTTCAGACGGGCCTGGGCATGTGCTTTCTTGAATAGAGGGACCTTGCGGGCACTGCAGGATTTGAATCCTTGTCGGCGTAGTGTGTTACCAATTGTTTTCTTGGTGACTGTGGTCCCAGCTGCCTGGAGATCATTGACAAGATCCTCACGTGTAGTTCTGGGATGATTCCTCACTGTTCTCATGATCATTGACACTCCACGAGGTGAGATCTTGCATTATGCACCAGACCTAGGAGACTGACAGTTTTGCATTTGACTTTTGCGAATGATTGCACCAACTGTTGTCACCTTCTCACCAAGCTGCTTGGCGATAGTTTGGTAGCCCAGTCCAGCCTTGTGTAAGTCTACAATCTTGTCCCTGCCATCCTTGGACAGCTCTTTGGTCTTTGCCATGGTGGAGAGTTTGGAATCTGATGGTTTGATTGCTCCTGTGGACAGGTGTCTTTTATACAGGTAACAAAATGAGATTAGCAGCACTCCCTTTAAGAGACTGCTTCTAATCTCCGCTTGTTACCTGTATGAAAGACACTTGGTAGCCAGAAATCCTGCTGAATGATAGGGGATCAAATACTTATTTCCCTCATGAACATGCAAATCAGTGCATCATTTGTTAGACATGCATTTCTGCTGAATTTTTGATTGTTATTCTGTCTCTCAGTGTTACAATACACAGAACATTCAATTTTTAGACTGATCATTTCTTTGTGAGTGAGCAAACATTCAAAATCAGCAGGGGAGCAAATACTTCACTGTATACTTTTATTCTTGAGAGTAGGAGCGTAAATTGAAACAAGCTGGTAGGGGCCCCAGTGCATTTGTTTGTCCAGGGGCCCATGATGCCATTAAATTGGCCCTGGGTTTACTACTGCTTTAACCAGCTATGCACAATCCCTATTAACTATTAACCTCAAATAACTGTGTTCTCACCTTCTACAGGGCAATCCGGCAAAGGAAGAGGTGAAACCAGAACCAAAGGACGATGATGACACAGCTCTGTAAGCTGAGGGACCCACCATCACACTTTCGCCAAGTTTCCGACAGACACATGGATTCAATTATAAAGACTGGAAATGGGATGAAACAATTCAGCCAATCCCATTCTGTGGAAATTGTGATACTCTTGTTATAATTTAACTGGACCCTGCCATGAAACCAAACACCTGTCCGATTAGGCTCTGACAGAGGCACCCGTTCACTACCTGCTAGTCCCAGGATTCAGGAAGGTGTAACATCTCTGGCACAAAAGTAGCATGAAGTACGATGGGAGTTTGAAAAGGAATGCTTCCATCAAAGCCTAATCTCACAGGTATTGCACTTTGTGACCAATTCCCTTTCTTCCTGGAGTTTGCAGGTTACTGATTATCTACTAACTGTGAAATGAGATGATTGTGTGATAATTAACTCCACACTCTTCATTCCTAGGTAGACCTGCAATAAAATATTTAACTTTATGGCTTGTTTACATCCTTGAGTCTGCCATGAGCTTCAACCCAGGTTGTCTTATCAATCACTTATCAGTCCATTAGGGAAATTGATGGAGCTGTATAAAGTGCAATTCCTGGGCATAGCGCCATTTGTCATCCATGTTTCTGAATTATATGATGGTATGTACAAATGACAAATTCAACAGTTATTCAGTCTCCTTGTATCTGCTGGAAGATGGCTGGAAAATTCCACCAAAAAGTAGATGTTTTAATTATTAATAATATTAATGAACTCATAATGTTTTAGGCATTGCTGTTCTAATGATTGCTCCAAGAGCTGCTTAGCTTTTGCCAAGGCGCAATAAGTGAACAACTCTTCAAGAAATTACTTCCTGAAGAGCACTGTCAATGCCAGGAAAGGAACACCAACATAATATGGTACTCAAAGCCAGCTGAACTCCAGGCAAACAGATTAAATACATACAGGGGTTGGACAAAAAAAAATGGAAACACTACATGATTTTCAGGTGTGAAAGTGACGACATTGCATTGAAAGCGGACGTTTAGTTGCCCTTCTCTGTACTTTCTCCAGTTCCCCAATGTTCTTTTTGTGAATTGGTGCCCAAAACTGAACTGCATATTCCAGATGAGGTCTTACTAATGATTTGTACAGGGGTAAAATGATACACTTTCAATGTAAAACCTGTGGTCACTTTCACACCTTCATGCAGTGTTTCTATTTTTTTGTCTAAACCCTGTAG